TCCCTTTTATACCCCTTTTGATTGGACTATCAGCATGCGCGGATGTATTCAAAATTTGGTACTGACCCCCATAAAGTCTAAGTTAGGTAACTGCCATAACTCTGTACGACTGGGTCCATCTTGTGCCTTAAGTGTGCTTCGCCAGTCATTCAGCTATCAAATATACACAATAAAGAGGACGACAAAGAGGGTACTCTCAAATTAGACTAACACAGGATTAATTTGCCGATGAGAAGCTTTCCACATTCGTAATTATTTAGTCAAGCCTTGTTCAAACTGTACAAAGGATGCTTTAAAAATGTTCAAGAAATTAATTGCTGTGAAGGACGCCATGCTCCAAAAGATTTTGGAGCGCATCTTCATAGAAAAATACTAAGTGACATTTCTGTTAGCAGAGTATAAAGATGGTCCAATAACTACCTATGAAATGGACAAATTCAGAGTAGTACATAAATGGGTCACTTTTTCCTATTTTTAGTAAATCTATTGTTCAAATAGCCTTTTTAAAAGGCTCCCTGATCATGATTATTTAAGGACAATGCGGTATGGGTTGCATAGATCAACCGGCAAATTTGGACTAGTTAGGAGTTACAAAATTATAAAATCACTCCTCCAACACTGCAGTGCTTAATTTGGGCTAAGTTAGGAAAATATTAAATGCATAGCTCTGTTACAAGACTTACCAGTATTTTAACCATAGTAAGGACATTATTTGTTAAACATTGGATAATAAAAATCCACAAAACCCCATGAAAGTTAGTTAGAAAAGGTGGAACATATATGAAGCCAAGCTAATGAACGATTTTGCAGAAACTAGTTCGATGAAATTGGGAATAGATGAACAGTTGGGTCAAACAGTTATGTTGAGCAGTCGTTTATTAGTCCCCAAAAGAGTATTAAATTTGCAGTTATTACGTTTGGTCCGATTGAAACTGCAGCCACCTACTTTCAGAATTTGGTTGGCCTGAATTGACGTACGATTTTTCTTGCTTTAAATAGCCTGCAGCCCCATTTCCTCCTGTAGTCTGATGCGTCCTCTGCATCACAGGCGTCGAATATGGCAGTTTAATGTGACTTAAAGGTCCATAGCTCAGCGAACCCTGTGAATGATCCTCTCCAGCCCCACTTAATCTTGGCGAGAGACAAGGAGATCGTGGAGTTATCGGCATGGTTGGAATCGGTAGACTCTTAATGTCCTCCACCACCACCCGAGGTGTTGCCTTAGTATTTGCAAAGGATTCTGGAGTTTCACAATTTGAAGGTGTCGGAGTATCATCAAGATTGGAAAAATTTCCTGAAGCTATCGGTTTCCGAAGCGACGAATTCGATTCCTTTGAATTGGCAGCAAGAGTACAGGTGGATGTACTACTGGAGTCGGGAGTCATTGAATTGGTAGGGGGGGAAGTGGGAACCATCTTCGAAGAAGCAAACTGAGGTGGTGGGCTAAGAGTTTTGGCTCGGGGAACTGATAGTTGTAGGGGTGATAGCGCTGTATTAGAGTGGTGGTCTGCTCTAAAACAGACGAGGATTTCAAAAATTTTGTAAGATCTTTTTAAGGGCTTTTTTTGCAGCCAATCCAACATCATAAAAAGTTAAATGACAAAGTACATCCACCTAGCTGCAGTATTCTTTGTGCGTTGTGACTTTTAAATGAAGCTTTTGTATGTCCACGTTTTATGTATTTGCTGACATAATATTTTAGAAATCTTTAAGAAATTGGTCTTGCATTGTTGATAACGATGCCACAGCGATCGCCTGAAACAGAATAGAAAGAGGGCTATGAGCCTGGCCAAGATTTAACAGGGTCGCTGAATTTCGACATGGCTACTGCTAATAATATACCATAGTTGTCAAGGCTCCTTTCCTCCCACATGTCTTGTGGCGGTGCTTTTGAGTTACTCATCTTGGCTTTGCAACCCATAAAATTTTTTTAATCATTAAAAGTAGCTTGATTCCCAATGTTTTGCGCCCCAAAGCACTCTTGAGTTGGTGCTGAATTCCTCTGACGCAGGGTATGGGATCGAAACATGAATTTGCGAAATCTACAGTCTAAAGCAGATGGAGGCTCTAGTTTCTTTAAAGAAGAAAGCAGTACCCTTAACAGATGCCTATTTAAAGGTGTTATTGAAAAAAGGATCCCATAAAATTAGTTGGTATTCATTG